AGAAGTAAACAGACTTGTAAACAACGTCTATAGAATAAATTCATGTCCAGAAAAATATATAGCTTTTTGACACTCTAGAAAAAGCAAAATTTAGAATTATTTTTTAAATAATTCTCTTTTATTATTTTTATCATTTTTTATTTTAATTTTAAATAGCTTGTTTTACATGTCAGAAAAACACTAGCTTGAATTGTACCACTAACATAGGAAAACAGGATTTTTTCTTTAAACTAGGATTTTTATTTGATTTTTTAAAAGATATTCGTAAATAAGATCTTAATGTTAAAATAAATATTTATTAAAACAGCACAATCATGAAATGCCTCTACCTAAAGGGCTAACCTTCATACATGTTTCTAAATACTTGTGTCTGACAAATATCAGGTGAATGATGCTCCATCAATCCTGTTAGTCCTAAGAGTCAAAGATCTTCCTAAACAGAACAGCCTATGACCAAGCATAAAGACTAACACAGAAGCCAGAACTGAACAGCTCTGGTGGTAGTGATTTTTCCTGGAAAACATCTGCTCCTAGCTGAGTGTGTTTACATCTTGGCAACACTGGCAGATGTGCTTAGATTCAACCCATCTGTGTGGTGTTGGGAGCCTGGGGCTGAGAAAGCAGTGCTGAGCAGAAATTGGAGAGTGAGAGTACTCTAAAATAGTAAGTTGCAGAAAATGCAAATTGGCACATCACAGAAACCTAATCCTTCCTGCAAATCTGATGCCTTAAGCTATGTGATTTGTATATGAAAGATAGAATGAGCAATAGTTGAGTAGCATTTACAACAGTAGAACTCTGCAGTTATGTTATTTCATCGAAAGTAGTTTATTTTTTCATGCAATATATCCTGATTACAGTTTTTCCTCCCTCTACTCCTCCTAGTTCCTCCCCTCCATATCAGTTCCCTTTCTGTCTCTCATTAGAATAAATTTCTAAGACATAAAAACTAAACATGACAAAACAAAATATAATAAGATTAAGCAAAAACTATCAGACCAAATTTGGTCATGACAATCCAATGGGAGGAAAAGAGTCCCAAGAGCAGGCACAAGAGTCAGAGACCCATTTCTTCTCATAGTTGGGAGTTACATGATAATACTAAGTCAAAAGCTAAAATATATAGACTCAGAAGACCTGCTGTAGATCCACGTAGGACCCATGTTTCCTGCTTCAGTCTCTGAGAGCTCATATGCACCTTGCTTAGTTGATTCAGAGGGCCTTGCTCTCCTGGTGTCCTCCTTCCTCTCTGGCTTTGCAAGATTAGTATTTGTTGTCATTTGTTTTTGTTTGTTTTTTTGTTTTAAAGATGAGAATAATTTGTTTTACAAAAGTAATTTGGATAGTAAGTGGAAACATGAATAAGAAAATGTTTGGCCTTTGATAAAATAACCCACTAAGTAAAAATGCATTTACTTGTGGTGAGAGAGATAGTTTAGAGCATAAAGTATTTGCTGAGCAAGTGTGATATTGCAGGTTTGTTATGCAGCACACCTGTAAAGAAGTCATCATGGCAGGCATGCATGTGCAATCTCAGCACTGGGGAAATATGAACAGGCAGGTCTCTAGGACTCTGTTTTCTTACAGTCTAGCTTAATTGGTGAGTCAATCTTGGCGAGATACTCTAGCTCAAGAAAGGGGGTCACAGAAGATGAGAAATGCACCTGGAGCTGTTCTTGGACCCCACATTTATTTACACACATATACACACCACACACACACATACACATACACACATATCTGTATACAAACTAACACATATGCATGAACATTTTTATTTATCTACTTATCAGTTTTTGCAAGTGCAATGTGTTTACTTCCTCTTCTTTATGCTTTCACTTATATTAAAATTTCAAGGGTGATGATAGAAAAATAATTTCAAATCTAATATAATTTTTTAAATTTTATCTGATTTCTAAAACCAAAAGAAGCCTCACTGCATTGTGACATATCAGCTCCTTTACTGTGTTGTTGAGTTTTCTGCATTTACCAGGAAAACTATAGCATTGCCATTTGTAGAATGGGATTTGGAGAAACACATCATGGATTTGCATAGTTTTATGTTTACTTTAGAAATTTGGTGTTGGTGATTGTATCAGAAATCTGTAGTCTAGAAGCAAATAAATAATTAGATTGCTTATACCAGTATTTAATACTTTCATTTAATTTCGCTATTGGGATTTCAGATATTGAACATTTAACTATTATCTTGAATTTCTAAAAGTGAAAAATAGCCTTGATGTCTATCAATGATGAATGGAAATTTAAACTTGGCATTGGCACAATTCAATATTAATGAACTGTTAATAAAAATAAGATTATGAAATCTAGAGTCAAAGGAATGGAATTGAAAAAAAATGATTCTGAGAAAAGTCACTCAGACCTAATAGGATACATATTTATTTCTCATTTGCTGATGTTAACTTTCAATCTTCAAATATGTCCCTTTCAATTGGAATACCAATAAATATTAGAGAATTAGTAAGGAATCATAAAAGCAAAGAATTCTCAAGGTATGAAGATATAATGCACTAGCATAAATAATACAAAGGGAAAGATTAAAAAGGGAGGGTCGAATTGAGTTCATGGAAGGAAGGCTTGTTTAGAAGAGGAATGCGGGGAGGGACAAATAATGCTAAGGATCTTTGAAAAAAGTCACAGGATAATCTACCACTGTAGAGTTTCCAAATACATTTATGTAGGGGCAATGTCACTTCATGTCAACCCTCTACTTCCCTATCCATAAAAGTTACTGTGATTTTTATTCTCACAAGTCCAGTTTGCGCTGCTGATAACATCTAGGCATAGTTTTTCCACTGGAACATGCTCAACTGATTAGTAACTGGACTTATAGGAAGACTCCCCTGATGTGGGATAATTTTCTTCTACACTGAAAGATTTGACATGTGCATTAGTTTAATAAAATGCTGATTGGCCAGTAGCCAGGCAGAGAGTATAGGCATGGTTACCAGATTATGAGAATTCTGAGAAGAGGAAGGCAGAGAGTGAATCACCAGCCAGACACAGAGAAAGCAAGATGAGAGTGCCTCACTGAGAGAGGGTACCAAGCCACATGGCTAAACATAGGTAAGAATTATGGGTTAATTTAAGTTGTAAGAGCTAGGTAGTCACAAGCCTGAGCAATGGGTCAAGCAGTTTATAATCAATATAAGCTGCTGTGTGTTTATTTGAGACTAAAGAGCCTCTGTACTGGGCAGGTCAGAAACTTCCTTCTATACTCCCCTTTAACCAGTAGCTACGAGTCAATAGCTGCTTGCCAAGGAGTTAGACTTTGGGGTGACACTGATTCTGAATACTGAACTTTTGTCTAGCTTGAACTTTCAGAGATCTTATGTTTGTTGTCACAACTGCTAAGAGTTAATGTGAGCAACTGCTTACAGTGTCAGAAGGAACGGCTTCATTGTAGTCATACACTGCTTGGGACTCTAAGAATCCTTCTGCTTCTCTACTGCAATGATCCCCATGCTACAGATGAAGGAACGGCTTCATTGTAATCATACACTGCTTGGGACTCTAAGAATCCTTCTGCTTCTCTACTGCAATGATCCCCATGCTACAGATGAAGGACTGTGATACTGAACATTATGTAACCTCTTTTTAGAAGCGCACTGACTAGTTGTGGATCTCTGTATTGATCATCATCTATGGTAGAAAGATGTTTTCTCACAGTATTTCCAAAGGACATCCCTGTTAGTGATGAAGAAGAATCACTGAGAGGAGAGGACCAAGATTCAGGAGACAGTGAGGATCCTGGAGTCACTGAGTTCAAATCCTGGCTCTCTTCCTTTTGAGTCGTGTCCTAGACAATACCTCATAATCATTTAATACTATGTGTCAAATTTGAATATTCACAGTACCTATGTCTTGCACTGTTGATTCAAACTCACTCAATAGTTGGAACAGTATTTTTTCTAAAGAATAAACAACTGAATTACTGTGAATACAAGACAGGTAAAAGATGAATCGGTCTAATAAATTTTGAGATACTATAATGATTTATTCAGTCTGTTTTTCACTATAAACATTATCTGTTGTAAATTAGTTTAGTTTTTGCTTTAGCTTCTCTATGCCTCAGAGTCTGTATCATATCATAAAGCTTTATTTTCCCCTGGGCATATACTAGAACTGTGCAAGGGCAAGCCATTTAGTCCTTTACAAAGCATGTCTAACAGTATACTAGATAGAATGACAGAAAATCTTGCCACAATTTCAGACACCCAAATCTATTTTAAGACACACAGTAATATTTGACTGTGGAAGTAGTATTTTTTTCAGCATGATGTGATCTGCTCATACCCCATGAACACATAGCATGAGCATTATTTATGAGTACTGGAAAATAAATGTAAGTACACTATATTAAAGAACAAATAAAAATGACATCCAGGTTTATCAACCATCTCTAATTATTGCTTGAAGGAGTCCATCAATGATTCAAAATTGTTGAATGTTGAAAGAGAACTCATAAAAATTACTTTTTAAAGAAAAGAGAGACTGCATCTGAAAACAGATTTTTAAGTTATGGAAAGGAGTGGAAAAAGATTCAAGTAAGCAGTCTTTCCAAATTATCTTCAGGAAGGCAGAAAGCCAATGGCAGCAATTTGCAGATGAATCATAAGTCAGCTGCCCTAGGAACTGTTGTATGTAGAAAGTCTGCAGCACTTGTAGCCAAGGAGATTACATGACTCAGCTATATTAGTTAATGGGAGTATAAACTAGAAATAAACTGCAGTAACACATGCAGTGAAATGTTCCAGACTCACAACCACACACAAAATACTGGACATCCTGATGTTAATGTTGGTATTGTAATTATTCATATATCCATGAATACATTTAAAATAAGTGTTTAAACCAATTGTCAATCGGTGATGCTGAAATGGGGAAGACCCAAGCAGCCGTAAGGTCTTCATAAAAGCTGTCACCCAATATTGGCATATTAAGGGAAATTGAAGGCATAGATATCAAAGAGCGAGAAATTGGAAAAAAAGGTAATTTAATTTATTTTACAACTGTACAAATGATAAAGCAAGAATAGCTGATTGCAATACACAAATGACAGGGAACAGTGTTGACCAGAATGAACCTACAACATAAGCTTCATCTCCCCATTCCACAGATGATGTAAGAAAGACTCAGTAGCAATTATCCTATGCAGCAGAACTATCTGTAAACTCCTTCTTTTTCTTCCTGCTATATACATTTATAACACTTGTGCTTTTACCTACACATAGAAACAGGATTTCTTAAAAGGTGCTACATTAAGGAGAAACACACAACCTAGACTCACAATCAGAAAATCGCAATTTAAACACATTGCCAGCTTGAGGATATTTATTTTCTTTACTTTTGTCTGGAAAGATTTGAACATACTAGTCTCTTACTATTATGCTAGGAAAGAACATGTAATTAAGCTATAAAGTAGGTCTTTCTTAAAGCAGAGTAGTAAATGAAGTCTCAAAAGAACTTCTGTTTTTAAAGTGGTCATGATCTCCAGGGAAGTTCACAGTGCAGACCCTGAAGAAATCAGCATAACACACATCTATTGGTGCACATATTACAGATTCAGTGTGTACACACAGATATACATATATAACATGGTATATATGCATCACACGTGTCTATTTGTACTATAGAGATATATTTATAGCACATATATATAATAAAATATCTATTTCTAGATGGGTTGTATTTGGAGTTTGTTTATCAAATACAAACAATCACCTTTACCTGTTTTTATTAAAACCTTGGTATACTGATAACATTTAATGGGGATACCTCCAAACTTGTAGAGATAACAGCTAACTATACACAACTTTTCCCATCCCCCTTGCACAACTATAGATAATCCTTACAATAAACACATGAAAACAACTCTGTGAACCAAATATATCACATAATATGTATCATGACTAACTGGCACAACTAGAAATAAATCATTTTGCTCGCCCCTTCCCGAGGAGTAGCTGAGGAACTTGTTGGTATGTACACTACCCTTAGCACTTATTAAATAAAGCATTTCTGTAAGCATATATGTAGAGATTTCCTTTAACAATAGATATACAGTTCCTATGATATACAACACATGAAGACATTTGAATGCCCAGCACCTTCTCCCAGTGAGAAAAACTTCCACAGTAGTTTCATTATTCCTGTAGGCTGAATCACAAGATTTGCCCTGAAAAAATCTGTTACTAATTCACATTTTCTTTCAGCAACTTATTATTAAGTGTAGATCATGCTGAGTAATAATAATGAGAAAATTTCCATGGTCTACTCATGTCAACAGCACAGTAGCACCCATGCTACCTCAGTGACTGTGATATATCACAGTCAGCTGCCTGGGCATTCCCAGGTGCATGGTTAAACCATGACAAAGGAAATAAAACCATAAAGATGTGAGCATATCATATTAAGGAAAACACAGATACTTCAAGTATACACTTATAATTTGATTTTTGTTATGCTCCCTTAGGCCATCATGTATGTTAAATCGTAACTCTTTCCCTCACTGAACCGTTAGCCTTCATGGCTCTCCTTGCCTTTTCCCTGTAAGAAGGTCATGGTGGGGACTTAAGTGTTAGAGAATGGGATGGGCTCACTTAGTATTTCTTCTCTGAGCACTAAATGCCTTCAACTGAATTCATTCTTGTGTATTGAAAGTTCCCTGAGATGAACAAAAGTGGTTTTCTTTCAAATCTGAAGCCCTTTTGATGCTGAGCATTTTCCTAACTGGGCAAGCGTGTAGAAAACACGAAACAGGGGTGAAGAATGAATGTGGAGACATTAAAAAGGCACTACCCAATGCATCTAAGAGATAAGCATCAGCATGGAACAGTGGGGGAGCTGGGGTGTGCTTGCTTGTTTAAACACATTTTCTTTCCTTCTCGAAAGTGCAGTCAAAATGCTGTGCTGCTGTTTCCAAACACATACTTTGAGTAAGTGCCAAGTTAGTATTTACACGTGACAATTTTCTTGTGACTTCTAGATTTCCATAGAATGCATGATAGGTGCTGCTGGAAGCACTCATGTGCACAGAGTTCCAAACCAATTTTACACATTACCTACTTTTCGTTGGTCAAACAAATGAGACTTTCAATTTAACATTCATATAGCATGTGTCTCATACTTTCAAAT